AGCTTCATTATTATACCTGGGTCATCTTTTTTGCTTGCCATTAACAGTCTAAACATTTGTTCTCGATACTTGCTCATTATAAGTTCCAAGGCAGACTGATGTTCTTCCAGTGATGTACGCAATTCTTTGTTCTCTTGCTGTAATTCTCTGATTTGTCTGTTTTCTTGCTGGATTCCCATAACTAATGTGGATCGAGGTCGATGTCTTGCAACTTCATTTAGTTCTTGAATTTCTTCTTGGTACTGTTTCATTGCTTCTACTCGTTTGTTGAGAGCTGTGGTTTGTTCAATGAGGGATTCTGCTGCATCATCATGATCTCTCAATCTTTCAACAAGAGCTTTTGCATCAGCAAGCGCCTTCTCAATTGTGCAACTCATTTCTAAAGAATACTCCGGTCTCAGTCCCGCGCAGCCGTCAGCTATGGTAACTGAGGACACAAAGCCTCCGTCAACCGAGATCTACAGGGGAGAGACCTCGGACACCTGTTTAGTTCCTCTCAGTTAGCGGAGGGGCAGCAGTGGATACTGCCGAGCTGAACCCCATCACTGACCCACGAAGACCTCTACTGACCGCCTCTGAGAAGCACTCCGCAGATCGCACCTGGAGATCATTCTTGAAGGGAAAACCAAGTCTTCCTGGTTTTCCAATTAGATCTCCAAACTCTGCCTTGCATCTTCTCACATCCAGTCCATCAACTACCTTTAGCAAAGAGCACCTAGGGCTACCCTAGCTGTGGCCATTGTCTGATAGAGGAGGCTGCTTTCACAGGCCTTTTCTCTACCAAACTGAAGTAGATTTTCCCTTTTGTCAGAAGGCAGAGAGAAACCCAGGCAAGGAGTGGACCCACCCCACCCTCTTCTGGAGCAGTGACTTCAGATCAAGAACCTGCTACTATTGGCTCAGACCTGAAAAACTCTACCACAGCAATGTCTCATAGGAATCAGGCTACCTCATGCCCTACACAAGCCCAAAGCAAGATGTCACCCCCCAAAAGTGACACATTATCAATGTATTTCCTGAAGGTAGAAAGTCTGATGAAACTTTCTGACACAGAATTTAAAAGAACAACGATTGAATATTTTTTATTCTTATTATTTTTCCACACAAAATATGTGATAAAATACACAGGTAGATTTTGAATTACCTACCTGCCTTATTAATTATTATTAATAATAATTTTAATGAAAGTTTACGGAGACTTTGGATTTCCATTCTTTCATTCCACTTTTCTCCCTGTACACCTCTCCCCCTCAGTTTGCTCTTCTCTTTGAAAAGTAAAAGAAAAATTCTTTCATTATTATACAATCCCTACCCCCAAGTCCACTCCACTATGCAACCTTCATTCTGGAATTCATGACAATAATACCTAATCATATATCCCTTTTAAACAGTTCTCTCCTTCATCTGTTTCAATCCAGTATACATAATTTATCCCATCTTTCTCAGTCTTCCTCCAACCCTGATGTCAGTCCCATTTTACAATAGTGGCAATATACAGTACAATATTTATACTTTTGTGACTGAGATATTACACTCAGCATGATGTTCTCCAGGATCACCCATTTTGTATAATAGTTCATGAGTTCCTTATTTTTCAATGCTGCACAGTATTCCATTGTGTGAATATACCAGAACTTCTCTCTCCATTCATTTGTTGATGGGCACTTAGGTTGTTTCCAACTCTTTGCTATTTTGAACAAAGCACCAACAAACATAGATATGTATATATCTACTTAGGTGATGGTTATGGTTTCTTTAGGGTATATTCCTAGTAGTAGAATATCTGAGCTAAATGATACTTCCATTTGCAACTTTTTGAGAAAGCACCATACTGCCTTCCATAGTGGTTACACTATATTAAACTCCCACCAACAGTGAATAAAGGTTCCAGTTTCTCCACAACCTGGCAAGCATTTGTTGTTTGCTGTTCTGTTAAATTTTGCTATTTTTACTGGGGTGAGATGATATCTCACAGTTGTTGTGATTTGCATCTCTCTTAGAGCTAGGGATTTTGAACGTTTCTTCATGTGTTTGTGTGCCATCTGAATGTCTTTTTTTGTGAAGTATCTGTTCATATCCTGTGCCCATTTTTCAACGGGGTTGTTTACCTTTATTTTGTTGTGGTGCTTGAGTATTTTATAAATTCAAGATATAAGTCCTTTATCTGATGGGTCATTATCAAATACTTTTTCCCAGACTGTGGCTTTCCTTTTTGCCCTGTTGGAGGTGGTTTTGAATGTGCATATGGATTTGATTCTAGAAGGTCCCATTCATCCATCTATTTTATCCTCTCATAGTTGTAGATTTTTCAAAATGCTTATAAGACTGTTTACGTTATGGATTGAGTATTTTTTTCAATGTGTGAAAGTTTGTTGTTGTTGTTGTTGTTATGTGCCGTC